TCCCTCTCTCACTCTTGCTCTGTCCCTCTCTGGTCAAATTAAAATAAATACATAAATATAGTTAAATACAATAATTCTTTAAAAAAAAGGAAATTTGCAATGTCTGGCGCATGGTAGGTGCCCAAGTTGCGTGATGAATGAATGAACAGATCAATTGAAGAGGGCAACATGATATGTCAATAGAAATCTCTTGCTGAGAGTTGGGAAGGGTTGAGATTAAGGGTCTAAATTAGAAAGGAGAAAAACCTTCCTTTGAGTCAAAATAATTGGATGAATGTAGAAAAAGTAATATGTGTTCAACTGCAAATGATGCTACCTTGAAAAATGTCTTGAGAAGTGGTCTCAATCTTGACCTTGAAGAATGAGGGAAGGGTGAGATCAGTTTCCCTCTAATGAGTGTGAAAACAGGAGTGGAAGAATAGATGGTTTAAGAAGGAGAGGGGCGTGGTGGCGCCCGCCCTATGGCAAAAGCCTATGGAGGCTGAAGGATTGCGGCATCAAGTCCATCTCTCTCTCTCTTTGTCTCTCTCAACGCGCATGATTTTTTTGGGACCAGCAGGTGGTGTGGTGGTTAAGGTGCTGGACGCTCCCACATGGCCAACCACGGTTCAGGTTCCGGACCTGGTGGCTTGCTCTCTCACTTTCTCTCTCTCTCTCTCTCTCTCTCTCTCTGCTTCTCTCTGGTCAAATTAAAATAAATAAATAAATAAATAAATAAAATTATTTTTAAAAAAGGAGAAGGAAAATAGTTATGAGGGAGCTTTGAAAAGTTTGTGGAAAGTGGGATTTCAGTGCACAAAAATTTTTGAAATCCATGCATAGCTTTTTCTTTTTTCTTTTCTTTCTTTAAATTGTTTTGTGTGAGTTTTTGCAGTAGGGCATGTGCTGCTCACCAGATGGGCAGAGATAGTGAGAGGAAAAGTGAGAAATCACCACCCATGGGGGATGGCCATGCTGCAATCCCTTCTCCTCTATTCTCCTCCCAAGATCTTGGGTACACACACATGCACACGCACCCGGTGTGAGTTTCAAACCACCGGGTCCGTGACTCGACTCATGGCCAGACATTTGGGAGTCCAGTGACAGAATCACAACACCATCTGCTGGCCTCTCACCGTTTCTTTTTCTTTCTTTTCAAAATAATTATTTTATCTAACTTTATTTATTTTAATCTGACCAGAAAGGAACAGAGTGGGACAGAGTGAAAGAGAGAGAGACAGTAAGAGAGAAAGTGAGAAAGCTAGTTGCCAGGTCTGGGACTCGATCCACAGTCAGCCATGTGAGAGTCCAGTGCCCTTAACCACCACGCCACTTGCCACCCGTAGCTTTTTTATAATATGGATTTTCCATGAACTTTTTGAAGACGCCCCCATATAATTATCCCTGTGTAAGTATTCATATCTAATGTTTATTGAGTGTGTCAGATACCATCTTAAGTGCATTACATGCACTGTGTGCTACAAAAAAAGTGTGACATTTAAAAACATTACAGGGAATGAGTAGGTTGAAATTCCAATAGTTGGGAGATGTCTTGAAATGTCTTTTTCTTCTAACAGTGAAATGTAATAAAGCATAGTACTGAGAATGAGGGCAGCCTCTGGGTTCCGACTGCCTGAGTTCAAAGTCCTGCTTTGCCACTCAATGCCTATGTGACCTTGGGCAAGTTACTTAACCTCTCCAAGCTTCATTTCTTCACCTGTAAAAGGAATTAAAATAGTGGGCCCGGCAGGTAGCATGGGGGTTAAGGGTGCTGGACTCCCACATGGCCAACTGTGGTTCGAGTCCCGGACCTGGAGGCTTGCTTTCTCACTTTATCTCTCTCCCTTTCTGGTTGAATTAAAATAAATAAATAAAATTAAAGAAAATAAATCTTTATAAAAAGGAATTAAAATAGTATTGAGGCTCTGCAGTGGGAAGCGCCTGTGCCACAAGGCATCAATGCAAACCTGAGTAAGAAAAACAGTATCTTCCTCCTAAGCCATGACGTATCAGTTAAACAGAAATACCACTTCGGGGAACAGTGTTCAGGAGGTCCTAAATGAGCTCATACAGTCTCAACAGATTACCCCTCAGCTTGCCTTTCAAGTTCTACGTTTGTTTGATAAGGCTATATTCAGCATCAGCTCAGAGTGTCCAGAACAGAGTCAATTTCAGGGGCTTCTACATACCTAGAGATTCTGTGACAATGTGTGGACTTTTGCGTTGAATGATACTGAATTCAGAGAGGTGGCAGAACTTAAAAAAGTAGATATAGTGAAAATTGTAGCCTGTGGCCATAAATGGCCATAAAAACACAGGCTCCAGTACTACAGAATGAGTAGGGAAAAAAAAATGGCTTTTTAAAATGCCGTCTTCTGTTGTTATCCATTGCTTTTTGAAGATAGAAGAGACATTTTAAATTTATTCTAGCATTGCAGAAATGACAACACTGTGCTGTCCTATCAGAGAATTCCAGTAGAAAGAAACTTAAAACTCTGTAGCCTCTTACCTTTATTGTGCAGATGAGGAAGCTTGAGGGTTTTTTTTGTATGAAAAAAGTTGTTTCCTACCTAAGAACATTCTTTTTTTTTTTTTTTGGAGGTTTTTGCTATAGGGCGCGTGGGCTCGCCAGACAGACAGACAGAGACAGAGAGACAGAAAGCGAGAAATCACCCCCCAGGGGGGATGGCCACGCCACAATCCCTTCTCCTCCATTCTCCTCTCGGGATCTTGGGCACGCACGCACACGCGCCCGGCGTGAGTTTTAAGCCACCGGGTCCGGGGCGCGAACCGCGGTTGACTATGTGGGAGTCCAGCGACATAGCCATTACGCTAACTGCTGGTCCCTACCTAAGAATATTCTGTAATAAACTCATTTTAAAACTTATGAAAATAGTATTGATGATGTTTATATCGTTGTTGTGATGATTTAGTGCCTTGAACAGGATAAACATTCCACTATTATGTTACTAGGATTGCATGCCTGGGAGCAGCAGGGGCAAGAACAGTACTGAGGGGGGCCAGTAGGTGGCATGGTAGTTAAGGTGTTGGATCCCACGTGGCTGACTCCACAGTTTGAGTCCTGAACCCAGAGACCTGAAAAACATGCTGGGCAGGTGTGTACACGTGCCCAAAATCCCAAGAGAAAAATGAAGGAGAAGGGATTGAAGTGTGGTCATCCCTACGAAGGGTGATTTCTCACTTCCCCTCTCTGTCTCTCTCCAGCAAGTGCACACATCCTATGGCAAAAATCTAAACTAAACAAAGAAAAAAAAAACAGTTCTAAGTCAGGTTGGAGGCATACTTCCTTTGCACTTTTTGAAGAGATAAGACTGTTGAACCTTTGCTCTGAGGAGCCTATCTGCCTTCTGCATAGAAAGGTCCTCCCTGGGGCCAGGAGGTGGAGTGGTGGTTAAGGGTGCTGGACTCCCACATAGCCAACCATAGTTCAAGTCCCAAGTCCCATACCTAGCGGCTTGCTTTCTAACATTCTCTCTCTCTCTCTATAAGAATAACTTGGATGAAATTTTTATTTGTGCATGTGAAGATAAATGATCTATCTTAAGAATAAAGGTGGGGCCGGCCCATGGTGTAGCACTTAAGTGTTGTGCATAGAAAGCCAAATCTCCCATGGCCCACCAA